TGATACATACTGATGAGAGCTATTCAACTGCATCAATATTTTTGACCTTGACCTTTCCTTTGACCTTGACCTCACTTATCTTAAATAAGTTTTTAGCTCAGTTTTAAAGATACCATTCAAGATAGTGTTATCAAACTTCAAATACTGATACATACTGATGAGAGCTATTCAACTGCATCAACATTTTTTGACCTTGACCTTTCCTTTGACCTTGACCTCACTTTTTCTTAAATTAGTGTCAAACTTCAAATGCTGATACATACTGATGAGAGCTATTCAACTACATCAATATTTTTTTTACCTTCACCCTTCCTTTGACCTTGACCCCCCTTTTCTTAAATTAATGTTTAGCTCAGTTTTTAAGAAACCATTCATAATATTTTTATCAAACTTCATATGCTAATACATACTGATGTAACCTTTTAACTGCATCAAAAATTTTTGACCTTGACTTTTCCTTTGACCTTGACCTCACTTTTCTTAAATTGGTGTCAAACTTCATACGCTGATAAATACTGATGTAAGCCATTCAACTGCATCAATATTTTTTTCAACTCGACCTTTCCTTTGACCTTGACCTCACTTTTCTCAATTTGTGTTAAAATGTTGCATTACTAATATACCCTCGGCGGGGCATTCATGTCCTATGGACATATTTCTAGTTTTTACTTGATAATCTCAATTTCACTAATTGGTATTTTTTCTTTACATGTTAGCAACTTTATTTTTATGTTATACCTATTGTACTTCGAAGGTCCTCTGTTTCCATTTCCATCAAGGATAAAGGAAGTGAATGTGCACATTGTACTGAATTTGTCAGCACCTTATTTTGGGGGGGGGGGGGGCGGGGGGGGGGTAAAAATTAGCTTTTCAACCCTTATGAATAGGCCTAGTATTTAACACAGATGACTGTATGCAGAAAAATTTATTAATGCACACATTTTTAAAAGCTTTAGTAAAATGTGAAAAACTTAGAATGAACCACTTTGAATCCGAACAAAAGCATATTCATTAATTGACATTTTATCTTTAGAAAAATTATTCCTATAACATACAAATTGTATTCGGGTTGCCATGATGCTCTCAGTGGCGAATATGCACATTTTACTGGTAATTTTATAAGCACAATTACTAATAGTATTTCGACACATGAAAATATATTCACAACTTATATATAGTGATATCAATTGCTTTATCATTATTTCCATGCTCATTCACATAAAAAAAACATCATTTTTATATCCATGTACATGTAGTGTTAATCGCCTCCTTTTTCTTTGAACATCGGGTTCGACGCCATCTAACGTTCTAGAAAATTCCATAAACTATAAGATCGGATAATGGCGAAAACGACTTGCACATTTTGTTTTTTTAATCAGAAGTCATATCTTATTTCTTCTGTATAACTTGAATCAAGTTTTCATTGAATAATTCAATATTGACTTTTTATCAAATAATTAAACGATTGCTTATTGTCAGTTTCATTAAAAATTGCCAGCAACTTAGATCCGCCAACCGTTACCGCCACTGTACTTTTTTTTTTTTTTTTTTTTTTTTTTTTTTTTTTGGCTATTTTACGACTGTTTATCGAAAATGAAAGTTGACTTTTAATTAAATTTACGATAATTAATATGCGAATGAAATTTGAATATAGTTTACGGACATCATCTCATACCTAGTGTAATAAAGGTGAAGTTATTATGAACTCTGGCGCAGGCGTTTCGGAGTTTATTTGCAAAATTTATTAATTAATTTAATTTATAAGTATATGTCTGTGGTAAAAGAGCGTTTTAGCATTTTCGTTTTTTAGAGTGCATTCCAGTTAAGGTAGTCTGATCCTCAGGTTCTGAAAATCAGCTTTTAAGGGGGCCGACTGGGGTTTTCATTGCGCAATACTTCACGCAGCATAGTAAAATAAAGCGTATTTACTCTTTTAAAGCAACTATTTTTACTTAATTTATAAAAATTAATAAATTTAGTAAATCTAAGGTTAAAAATCCTAATTACGTTTTTAAATAACTAATTTTTAAACGATTTTTCAAATGATGGGTAGATAGACGTCGTTATAGCGTGTTTTTGACGTTATGAATAACCGAAGTTCTTTAAGTGGGGTCATTAATTATATCATAAAATAAAAAGTATAAAATAGATGCTCTTGAAATTTTAAACATAGGAAATTGAGAATCTCACAATCATTTCTATTGTTTTTTTATGTAAATCTGTGGTATCTGTCATGTTTTGTTGTACTCCATAAAAACAGGAAAATATCTTTATTTTTGACATTTTGAGATTCCCCCTCTGGAAACCAGACGGTAGAATTTTGTGTTTCTTGCATAAAATGTACAATATAGTATTACCCATCAAATAATATAATTTGAGCAAAAAGTCTATAGTAGCATTTGTATAATTTGCTCCGAAGTGCGAAAAAATGGTATTTTCCTATATAATCCTATAGTATATGTACCTGTATTTTGAGATGGTCCCTAAAAAATAACCAGACGGTAGATGTTCACTAAACTTGGCATATATACTGAAGTAAGCGTAAGGTACATATGGTATAAAATTAAAGAGTTTCTCTATAGTAGTTTTCACACAATAAAACCCCAGTCGGCTCCCTTAAGTAATTGAAAATGCTTACAAAAATATATCTGATTTCACATAGTAACGTGAATTTACCAATGGAATTTCTTAAAGTTTATCATTATAGTTAATCATATTGTATAGGGAAAATTATCAAATCTCAAATATATTTTCAGGAGATGCGAATAAAAACACCAGTTATGCATTTTCTAATTGAAAATTGATCAATAAATATAATTTAGGATAGAAAAATATAGGTATCCAGGCATTTGGAGAAAAAAATGCATCTTTTTTATGCATGTACAGTATTTTAGTTCTTTTTACTTCAATTGTCATCTAATGCATAGTGTAAAAAGATTGTGCTATCATTGCTAGACATCACATATCACATCTAATTTCATATAATGCTAATAAGCAGTGGTATCTAATGCTAGACTAAAGGAAATTCGATGTCTCTAAAAATGAATTCATTTTTTTTTTCTTTTATGGGGTACAAATGTCAACTTTTTACAAGACCATTTCTAAGACCTCAAAGAACCTTGAATCATATTAAGTTGCATAGAAAATAAAATAATAAATTTAAGAGTTATCCTTCCTGGCTGAGGATCGGATATCCTTAAGCAGTGCATATAATATAGTTTTCTGCAAAACTGCATTTTCTCTTGAAGATGATATATGATTGTAAAACTTCCACTCCTCGTGGTAATAAGCAAAAAGAAATACCATATTGATACAAATACGAAAACTAGGCTAAAAACCATAATAAAAAAAAGATTATTTTCCTCAATTACTAGTAATCTATTCTCCAAAAAGTCCACTTCGTACAGAATATATAATTATACAAGAATGCCACAGTCCATCAAGTACTAGAATTATATAGCTATGAAATAGTACTAAAAGGTAGACATTGATTTTCTTTCTCTCTATGAGGATAATATATCTCTTGGAATAAAGAATTAGTCTTATTTGTAAGGACTCTTGAATACTTTAGTGAGATGTCAAAATCATGGAAGAATTTTTACCAAGGAAGGATCAGCGTATTTTTTTGCTATTGGTTCACTGTCGTGTAATCTTTTCAATACAAAATACAATGCTTTGGTCTATCCTGACAAGTTATAAATTATTTACAAGCCATAATGTGGACCTAAGAATTATATCAATGGACAAAAAAGAAGTTTAAAGATCCTTCGTTTAAGTCAACCAGGACACGGTGTAATTTTGTCTCATTAAAAATTTTGTATTTACTACCAACCAGTAAAGTGAAAGTTTTAATATGACATAAGAATTTAAAATATAGTTTCAGCAACAGGAATGTCATCCCGCCATGAAGGTTGGTATGTGGGTGTATCTATTTTGGTGCTTTACTTATTGCTAATGTACATCTTTATTAAACTATTATGTTACAGATAATCGAACAATTAAATTTTGAAATTCATTATGACTTTAAGCTTTTGCATTGTTTGAATATGAAAATTGACCAGTGTGGAATTATTCATTAAATACAATTGATGTTTATTAAGAATCGAACAATTACTAAGGTAATTGGTGATATTTAGATTCCCTTTCTTCCTTTAATGATGCCGGTAGGGGGTTATTCAGAAATCATTAATTCTGTCTGTCTGGACTTCTATTACAGCATATCGGTCTCTCACTAATGGTAGTCACGTACACTTTTGTAAGCTTTTTCCTGTATTGAACTTATCCATCATTAATGTTCCTCCTGTACAAAGCAGGTTTAAATAATAAATCCATGCCGTTATATATTTAATATCACAACGATATTGTATATAGCCCAATGCAGTTCCCATTGCTTCTGCTGATGTCTGGCTGAAGTTACACAGCCTCAATATATCTCACACCAGGATTCTAATACATCAATTACATTATATAGTCCTCTCCAGTCTTACGTCTTCTAAATTTGGCTTAATTGTCGACAAGATGTATATTGCTTCTCTTCCCAATGTCAAATCGGCGTGAAAACCTAATTTAACAGGACCACCTGACACAATTTACGACTAGAGTCTAAGAAAACAAAGATACTGAAAGTCATGTGATCATAATTACACCAATCATCTTACAGAGGTGCAATATTTGGGTATTTCGAACGTCAGAATTCATTATAAACCTCCGTTTGATATTTGCTGAGTTCAGTGTACAATCTATTTAGAAATTGGACCAAAAATAGACCTTTCTGTTTCACTGAAAGGAAAACCCACTTGTTTAACTTTGTGGATTTATCAAACTTTTTGATCACTGGACTTGTTTTTGTCTAGTTATCTACAACCAGCTAGCTGAGCTTAGAAGAAACTTCTTTTTTTCTTAATGGTATGAACTCAGCAACTGAGGAGCTGTCTTCGACTAGAACCTGCTTTTAACAGCTTTGTACTTGCAAAATGAACAATAAACCATTTTCTTTCTAGGCTCAAAGATCACGAAGTTTGAATGATATAGCAGTTCCTGAGGACCAGAAAAGAGGTACAAGTAATGCTTCAGGTCAAAATCTCGAATATAATTTTGTGAGATGAACTAAACATCAATTATTACATTTGAGTGTTAATTCCAGAACTAAAGGAGGCGTTCGGAATGTTCAAGACCAGGAAAGGGAAAATGTTCGCAAAAGATCTAGGTCCTCTACTTCGCTGTTTAGGACTAAACCCCTCCGAAAGGGATTTGGAGGAAGCCAGACATGAACTGGATGTTTGTGGTAAGTAATCATGGTAAATTTTAAATCTGCGCGTAAAAAACTTTCTTTTTCTTACGTATACACTTTTTCTAAAAGCAACTAGAACACCGGGGTCAAAACTATTGGCAACGAAAGTCTTGCGATTAAATTTCAAGTTTTTATACCCATCACATGTAAATAAGGTCTCTTTGTTCACAGAAACGCTGATCATATTTAGCGATGAATAAAGATACAGTTTCATGATTTTCTGCATTTTGAATTAAACTAAAATTGTATTATTTTTTCAGCCAAAGGTAAAATAAGTTACGCAGACGTTGAACGTTATGTAATAACGCATGGCGACGTCTACGCCGAGGAAACAGAGGACATTCTAGAGGCATTCCGAGTCTTGGACAAATGCGGAAGCGGTAAAATATCCGTGTCGGACTTCCGAAAGTGCATGACAACCATGGGGGATCGAATGACACCAGAGGAAGTGGAGGAGATCATTCAATATGCAAAATCTGATGGATTCATCGAATATGAAGGTATGCAAGAGGAATGGATTTTCGGCCTTGTTATGTACTAGTGTAAGGGGTAATACTATATGCAAAATAAATAACTGATGACCACAGAACCTATAAGCTTACGATACTTGATTTCGACAAAAAATGTTCATCTTGCCTGTCTTTTTAATTTTTATATGTTAATTTAATTTAGGGATGGCAATCGAATACAGAATTGCCAATCGGTTAATTGCAAGACTTTCCGACCGATTAACCGGTTAATCGTATCAGAAATTCTCGACATATTTCATCATTGTAAGATCTAATAAACAAGACTATAGAGATGTTACGTATAGTAATATTATGTTTATATTTGATCTGGACACTACATGTACTTTATTTCAATTTTGAAATAGGAAAAAAAATGAAAAAGATGTTAAAAAATAAGAAAAAAATTAAGAAACCAATGAAACAGCATGTTTGAAAGTATCAGATGCATCAATCGGAAGAAATATCCCGCAAGATCATTCGGCATTTTAAACCATAATCAAAAGCAAATCTGAACTTTTGCTTAATTTACAATGTTTGTTTATTAAGACTATTTGATAGGTAACTGCAAAGGTTAGAAGAAGTAAGGTACTCATTATAATCAGTTCAGAATACTCAACGATCATTTAATAAATATTATTAAAGAAACACAAGACGGGCTGTGTAACAACGTGTTTAAAATTATCTCCGAATCAGCTTAGACAGATAGTTGAAAATGCAAACAATTCAGATATTTTTGTTTATATTTTTTACATTAAATTTTCAAGGAATTGTGTTCAAATTTACCTATATTAATTTATTCCGACTAACCAATTACAGATTTTCTAACTAATTACCATCGTTCCGACCGAGTAACCGGTTAACCGATTACAAATTGCCATCCCTGTAATTTATGCATTTACAATTCTACATTTTATAACCCGTTCAGTTTCTTTACTTTGCTTACCCAAAAACTTTCCAATCCTTAATTACATGATTTTCAAAATTTCAGATTTGTTACGAGAACTGAGCGAATCAACAAAATAAGAAAAAGCCTCCGCTTTTGAAATTTTTTGACAATTTTTGTCCTGCATGGATTGCATAGGAATGTGCAGAGACGTGCACTTTGAGGATGGATTGGAGAGTTTATCACAACCATGTTGTCATGGTATCAAGAGGCCATGGAAGAAAACGTTTTTGCGTTCTGCACCATTTCTGTTAGTCGCAACTGGGTCTTTTGCAGACTATAGCAATTCGTAACACTGCATGATCAAAAACATCAACGTTCATGTACATACGTTAGTTGCCACAAATGGTCTCTAAAATGCATTCTTATTTAGAATGGCTATCCTAACACTTGAGAGGGTAACACTGAGGCATTTCAAGATTTTTGGAGATAGGAATTACTCATTTTCCATATATTCTTCATTTCAAACTTTTGATATACAATCATAACTTTTTTTGTAAATTAAGTCTAGATATTTTTGATATACTTAGTGTTTTATAATGCACAAACAGGTAACATGTTCAATATATCTGTTAGATTTGTACATGTACCAGGTGCAGGTTATCGTTACAATGAAATGGTGGTGGCGGAGAACTGTACAGTCATCGAAATCATTGTTAATGTTTTCATCCAAAAAAAAAAAAATAGCGCCCCTTAAATTGTGATATAGAATTTCCCCTGTTCTGTAATAGTTATACAAATGTTTCTGACACTTTTGCAATATTTTTGAGATTTGGGTAATGTTCATGTTCGTTATTTGCTTGATATACAATGAATCTGATGTTTTTTGCTGTCATAATTACCTAATAATACTTGTTATCATAATTATCCATCGTTCTATTTACTATTTTCATTACTACCTAATACATGTATTCTATTTGTTATCATAATTATCCAGTATTCTATTTGTTATTATTACCAAATGTTCTATTTTCCAGTATTATATGATTAAATGTTATTACTTAGCACAATATCCTTTTAATAAAGTTAGTTTCTTATAACAAAAATTCCCTTATTACGTTTTCTCAATACGTTTAGATGTGAAATACAGATGCACAAAATATAGCGTTACTTCCCAGATTTTTAAATGCCAAAAATTCTTCAGCAGACAATCAGAAAGGACACGCATACAATTTATTTAAAAGTTCAAATATAAAGACCTCTGAAGTGATTTTTTTAGCGAGATGCCTTAAGAGTATATAAGGTATGTCACTCTTAAGAGTATATAAGGTATGTCACTCATCAGCTTTTGAGAAAAGTTTAGTCAGAATCTCTAACTTCAAAATTATTTACTGCGATTCAGTTTTTATGACATACATGTATTTGAATTAAACAAAGCATATTATGCATAATTAAATTTTAAAAACTGCTCACAAAATTGAAACAAATTTATTGGGGACTATTTCTTGTGGTGGAAGGATATTTAGAAAAAAATTCTTCAAATCTACACATTTGTTTGACTTATTGTCCCCCGCTTTCGCGAAAGCGAGATGTGGTGTCTTAATAGTACATGTATATAATAGTATAGGACATTAAATCTCATTCGTCTGTCAGTTTGTCTGTCTGTCCGTCTGTCTAGCTGCCAATCTGACAAAAAAAAAAACTTTAACCTTGGTTCATAAGTTTTGATTGAGAAGAGATGGGGATTTCATGTGACAAGACCTTTCCAAATATACTATGATTTTGACCCTGTGACCTTGAAGTTTAAGCTACTTTTCAAAAATGTTAATATTACAAAGAAGATTGGGCTTTCATATTATACATGTATATTACCTGTGAAAAGACATTTCTAAATTTTCCATGATTTTTTACCCCTTGACCTTGAAGTATGACCTACTTTTCAAAAAAATTCTCTTTGCTTATAACTTTTGATTGAGAAGAGATAGGGATTTCATATTTGACATATGCATTACATGTGACAAGATGTTTCTGAGCATGCAATGTTTTTGACCCCTTGACCTTCATGTTTGACCTTATTTTCAAAAAAATTAACTCTGGTGATTACTATTGATTGAGATAAGATAGGGCGTTCATATCAGACAAGTACATTAACTGTGTCAAAGTGTTTCCGAATGTGCTACAATATTTGACCTTGGCCTTCAAGATTGACCTAATTTTCAAACATTTCATCAGTGTTATTAACTTTTGAAGGAGCAAAGATAGGACATTCATATTTGATACGTGCATTACCCGTGACAATCATTTCTAAATGCACTACGATTTTTAGCCCGACGACCTAACCTTGAAGTTTAGCAAAATTTTCAAATTTCAAAAACTTTTGATTGAGAAAAGACATGACATTTACATTTGAGATGTGCATTACCTGTTACAAGATTGTACACTCTACATGGTTTTTAGCTCACCTGAGCTGAAAGCTCAAGTGAGCTTTTCTGATCACATTTTGTCTGTAGTCTGTCTGTCTGTCCGTCTGTCCGTCCGTCTGTAAACTTTTCACATTTTCGACTTCTTCTCAAGAACCACTGGGCCAATTTCAACCAAACTTGCCACAAAGCATCCTTGGGTGAAGGGGGTTCAAGTTTGTTCAAATGAAGGGCCACGCCCTATTCCAAGGGGAGATAATTAAGAATTGGTGAAAATTTGGTGTCATCTTTTAAAAATCTTCTTCTTAAGAACCATTGGGCCAGAAAAGTTGAAACTTATGTGAAACCTTCATTACATAGTGTAGATTCAAGTTTGTTCATATCATGACCCCCGGGGGTAGGGTGGGGCCACAATGGGGGATCAAAGTTTTACATAGGAATATATAGGAAAATTCTTTAATAATCTTCTTCTCAAAAACAACAAAGCCACAATTAGTCATATTGATATGAAATCATCCTCAGGTAGTGTTGATTCAATTTTGTTCAAATCATGACCCCTGGGGGTAGGGCGGGGCCACAATGGGGGATCAAATTTTTACATAGGAATATATAGGAAAATTCTTTGAAAATCTTCTAAAGAACAACAAAGCCACAATAAGTCATATTGATATGGAATCATCCTCAGGTAGTGTTGATTCAATTTTGTTCAAATCATGACCCCTGGGGGTAGGGCGGGGCCACAATGGAGGATCAAATTTTTACATAGGAATATATAGGAAAATTCTTTGAAAATCTTCTTGTTAAGAACAACAAAGCCACAATTAGTCATATTGATATGGAATCATCCTCAGGTAGTGTACATTCAAGTTTGTTCAAATAATGACCCCCAGGGGTAGGGCAGGGCCACAATAGTGGATCAAAGTTTTACATAGGAATATATATAGAAAAAATTCTGAAAAATCTTCTTCTAAAGAACAACAAAGCCAGAATTAGTCATATTGATATGGAATCATCCTCAGGTAGTGTAGATTCAAGTTTGTTCAAATCATGACCCCCGGGGGTAGGGTGGGGATACAATGGGGGATCAAAGTTTTACATAGGAATATATAGAAAAAATTTTTAAAGATCTTTTCAAGAACAGGAAAGCCATGATTAGTCATATTGATATGGAAGCATCCCCAAGTATTGCAGATTCAAGTTTGTTCAATGCATCCTCCAGTAGTAGGGTGGGGCCATAATGGTGGATCAAAGTTTTATGAAAGAAAATATATAGGAAATATCTTTAAAAATCTTCTTCTTAAGAACAACAAAGTCTTGATTAGTCATATTGATTTGGAAGCATCCTCAGGTAGTGTACATTCAAGTTTGTTCAAATCATGACCCCACCCCACCCCCCAACCCCAACCCCCAGGGTAGGGTGTCAGACATCTTTAAAATTCCGTTTTAAAGAACAGCAAAACCATGATAAGTTATCTGAATATAGCAGCATCCTCAGAAGGTTTATATTCAATTTCATTCAAAACATGGCACCTGGGGGTAGGGTATGCTTAGAACAGGCCATCAAAGCTTTATATGAATATATAAGAGAAGACATCTGCATACGAAGAACAACAGGGCCATATTGACTCAGGTGAGCGTTGTGGCCCATGGGCCTCTTGTTAATATTTTTTTCACATGTGCATTACTTGTGACAAGACCTTTCGGATTGTGTTATGATATTTGACCTCATGACCTTGATCTTGAAGTTTGATGTAGTTTTGAGAAGCTATAATCTTTGTCATATCTGTTATTAATTCAATAATTTATGTCTTTTTTTTTAGCTAACCTGAGCCGAAAGCTCAAGTGAGCTTTTCTGAACAAAGTATGTCCGACGTCCGTCTGTCGTCCGTTGTCTGTAAACTTTTCACATTTTCGACTTCTTCTCAAGAACCACTGGGCCAATTTCAACCAAAATTGCCACAAACCATCCTTGGGTGAAGGGGATTCAAGTTTGTTCACAGGAAGTGCCGCATTCTCTTTCAAGGGGAGATAATTAAGAATTCGTGAAAATTTGGTGCATCTTTCAAAAATCTTCTTCTCAAGAACCACTGGGCAAGAAAAGATGAAACTTAAGTGAAAGCTTCATTACATACTCTAGATTCAAATTTGTTCATATCATAACCCCCGGGGGTTGGACGGGGCAACAAGAGGGGGTCAAAGTTTTACATAGGAATATATAAGAAATGTCTTTAAAAATCTTCTTCTCAAGAACAGCTAAGCCATTATAGACATATCAATACAGACGTATCCTCAGGTAGTGTAAATTCAAGTTTGTTCAAATCATGACCCCTGGGTAGGGCGGGGCCACAACAGTGGGTCAAGGTTTACATACATGTAGGAATATATAGGTGTAATGGTTAAGGAGCATTTGAGTAAAACGCATTGAAGACTACGAATAGTGGAATGACCTGACAAACTTTGGAATGGACTAGCCTAAGGGTATATAAGGCAAAGCTTTGGGAAAGTCAGGCATTCAGAAGGTAGCCGTAGAAGTTGGATGATGAGTCAGCAATAAAGAAATTAAGGTATTCCATCCTAATGGCAAAAGATTCAATGAAATTGAATACATAAGAGATGTTTAGGTGTTGAATACTCAGTATATTTAGACATAATTCCCATTTATTACTATTAGCATGTAAGGGCGGGATGTGTCCTAATTTATGACCTTGATTTTTGGTAAGAGTTATCTCCCTCTATTTTTAATTAATAAAAAATCAATTTTAAGAAACTTATCTGGTAAAAAAAATCGTTTTCAATTGTCATTCTATTTCTAATGTGTTTTAGTGCATTTTCCCACTACAGTATTTATTGATATTCTTATTATTTGATTTTTTATTTTTTAAAAATTGCTCCATAGACTTCAATGCAATCTTTGTTATGTACTTACTGCTTAGTTAATAACGTTTTTGAAACTTTCTCTTGATAAATCCTTTTCTATTGTAAAATGCTTTATATTAATATCAGAGTATTATGTATGTGATGGACATTTAAGGATAGATGATGGAAAACCTTAAGGGTAAGAGCAAAATAAAAGTTCTTCTGTTTAAGAACAGCAAAGCCATGATTATCAATATTGATATAGAAGCATCCTGAGGTAGTGTAAATTTAAGTTTGCCCCACTCCCTCCCCTTAAAACTTTTCAATACTGAACTGATTTTTGCTTCTCTTTAGCCAGTGTGCTCGGTGAGCAATGTGACCCATGGGCCTCTTGTTCTATGTTGCTCAGAGAAGACAAGACACACAAAAAGACAGTTACAATATATCATAAATAATGGCATCCCATTATTGAGACACTGAAAGCGGGGAATAAAATTCTTTGAATTTGCTTGTTACCTTGAAACTTTAGCTCTACATATTTTTACTTGGAGAATTTTTTTCGTTATTCGTTTTTTTTCCTTATTATATGCTAGGAATATTAATTGTAGGTTTCAAGTAATATTTTTTACACATTCACTCAACAGACTTTGCCAAAATATATGAAGATATATTTAAGAAGTCAAGATAAAATTTTTGCCTGAAAATCGGATATTTTGACCAATATCTCAAAATGTATATCTCTGACCCCAACTTTTTCTTTCATTATTTTAAATTACACGATACTTTAAACCGATCGGCACTAAAGTCATTAAAAGCTTGATATAAGAAAATCTGTTATTGCCTAAGTAAAATAAGTTCGTCATGTGACCATAAATTGATTGTTTAGTCATAAACGATCTACGTAATTTCATAGTCACGTCATAAGTGATCGACATGTTCAAAACATTCAATTTATACCGTTGAGTTTTGAAAAAAATAAATCATTTATGGGTTTAAAACTTTAATACCTTATTATTTGTAATAAATCAGTCACAAATGTAAATATAAGTAATAGCTAGGGTATCATTTTAAAAGTTTTATCGGGATGTAAATACGGGTTGGCATGTGATCAAATCTACCATATAAAGCCATTCGGGCTTTATGGGATTTAATCACATAAATGATACATTATTTCTTAAATAGCACGCATTAATTTGCAGGATTTTTTTCAATTATAAATATTTTTCAAACTATTTAATATGAAACAAGATTATAGTTATTGCCTTGATTACATTTAGTTAAATACGATAAAGATTAAAGTGATTAGCCTTAGAGTTACAATTTAAGTGCAAAAAGGTCCAGTTAATTGAATCGTAGCTCATTAAGATGAACACTGACCCCCAATTTTCATTTCGATTTTGAGTCATGCTATAGGAGTAGTTATCTAAAATATACTTCTCAAAAATTCCTTGATATAACTCATGTCACGAGTGACATACCTTAAGAATGACGTTTACTCGAATGACAACAAAAACATTCCACTGATAACAAGAGGCCCAAGGGCTACATCGCTCACCTGAGCACTGTGGCTAGGAAAAAAGGAAAAATCAGTTTAGTATTGAAAAGCTTAAATGCATAAGTGGTCCCAACCTACCCCTAAAAAGGGAGTGGGGGGGGGGGGTCATGATTTGAACAAACTTGAATCTACATTATATGAGGATGCTTCCGTATAAATATGACAAACCGTGGCTCTGCTGTTCTTGAGATTTTTAAAGATTTTTCCTATATATTCCTACGTAAAACTTTGATCGTTCATTGTGGCCCCGCCCTACCCCTGGGGGTCATGATTTGAACAAACTTGAATCTACACCACCTGAGGATGCTTCCATATAAATATGACCAATCATAGCTTTGCTGTTCTTGAGAAAAAGATTTTTGAAGATTTATCCTATATATTCCTATGTAAAACTTTGATCGTCCAATGTGGCCCCACCCAACCCCCGGGGGTCATGATTTGAACAAACTTGAATCTTCACCACCTGAGGATGCTTCCAAATAAATATGACCAATCATAGCTTTGTTGTTCTTGAGAAGAAGATTTTTGAAGATTTTTCCTATTTACACCTACATGTATGTTAAACTGATCGTCCATTTTGGCCCCACCCTACCCCCGGGGGTCATGATTTGAACAAACTTGAATCTACACCACCTGAGGATGCTTCCATATAAATATGACCAATAATTACTTTGCTGTTCTTGAGAAGAAGATTTTTGAAGATTTTTCCTATATATTCCTATGTAAAACTTTGATCGTCCATTGTGGACCCACCCTATCCCCGGGGGTCAAGATTTGTACAAACTTTAATCTACACTATATGAGGATGCTTCCAAATAAATATGACCAATCATAGCTTTGCTGTTCTTGAGAAGAAGATTTTTGAAGATTTTTCCTATGTATACCTATGTTAAACATTGATCGTCCATTGTGGCCCCAACCTACCCCCGGGGGTCATGATTTGAACAAACTTGAATCTACACCACCTGAGGATGCTTCCATATAAATATGACCAATCATAGCTTTGCTGTTCTTGAGAAGAAGATTTTTGAAGATTTTTCCTATATATTCCTATGTAAAACTTTGATCGTCCATTGTGGCCCCACCCTATCCCCGGGGGTCATGATTTGAACAAATTTGAATCTACACTACCTGACAATAATTCCACATGAGTTTCATCTTTCCTGGCCCACTGGTTCTTGAGAAGAAGATTTTTCAATAATGCCATTAATTTTTTGCTATTTCGTAATTATCTCCCCTTGGAGGAGGGCGTGGTCCTTCATTTGAACAAACTTGAAACCCCTTCACCCAAGGATACTTTGTGCCAAGTTTGATTGAAATTGGCCCAGTAGTTCTGGAGAAGAAGATGAAAATGTGAAAAGTTTACGACAACAACGACGCCGACGACGCCGCCGACGACGACAGACAACGGACAAATTTTGATCAGAAAAGCTCACTTGAGCCTTCGGCTCAGGTGAGCTAAAAATGAAAAACCACCTATTGTACATTGTAGACTTATGATTGAAGTGTTATTATTCACTTTCAAATGATTAGGTCACTTACCTACTTTTCATGCTAGTTGCCCCTGAGAAAATATGTCCATTGTCCAATATTTTCTTTATTTACAAAATATTATAAGTTAGAAAACTCTTTGGATAATGAAATATAAAAGGAATGGAATAGTTTGTTTCATATAAATAAACAATTAGAATTTGAATCATAAACTTGTTAATTATGCCAGTCTGAATTTCCTCTGTCAACTTTACAATTTTTACCCATCTTTAATCTAATATTACAAAAATCTGAATGATAAGAACTCTGAATTATTTATAGCCCCAATTTACTTTTATTGCCCTTATTCTGTTGGTACTTGTATTAAAGCTATATGATGTCAATGATCAAATTATTGAGAATAATTATACATGTATATGTTATCTGGAACGGTTTTTGTTCATATTTTTTGAAATTTTTTATTGCATGTCATTCAATTAATTGAAATAATACATGAGCTTTAACACACATAATATTTGCAAAAAACCGTTGAATCTTAACTTTATGAATGATATAACAATAAAAAATTAAAAATTAAAAATTTAGTCCGAATTTCCTCTATACCATGTATTTACGTTTGTTCTTGCATATCTTCTTCAAATAATAAAATACTTTATTTTTAAATTGATATTGAGTTATAACATGACTATTTTGTTAATTTAGAACAATTTTAATATCATTTTAAAGAAAAGGTCAAGAAGATATACGAAAAACCGTTTTCTGAGAGACTGTAGGCAATATTGATACATTTCGTTTTTCCAAGATGGAAAAAAAACCTCCCATATTTAAATCTGACTTTCTTCATTGTTCATTGCAAATGACAGTTTAAAATGTATTTTTTCGTTGTGTTTACTTAAAATTATGCCCCGATACATGCAAATGACAGTTTAAAATGTATTTT